AGTTCGCCACGGTCAAGATGTGTAGGTGCGTTTTGCTTGGACAAAATAATCGCAAAATCAGGGCTGGAATACACATCATACACTGCCACAGCTGGACATGGCAAATCCTTGTTCCACATGGGATTCCCTACATGAGAATCACGACCAAAAAAAAAAAAAAAAAAAATGAGCTGGCATTCATGGACAATGGCATGCCTCTTGCGTTTACCGGTGGTCCGATTGATTGCTGTGATTGCTGGAGTGGCGTCAGGCGCAATGTACGTATCCGAGGAGCCCATATCAATAGGTTGGTGCCAATTCATCGCATTGGGTTCATATTCACTATAAGAGAGCTGCCAGAACATATTGTTTTTGTAGTCATTGATGCGCACGTTGTATTCTACAAAGCAAAAAGACAATGAGTGATAAAAAAAACCTAGACGGCTTACCGTTCCGGCCAATGTAGATGGTGTGGGGTGGCAACTGGTGCTGGCGACCCATCAACAGCTCTTCCACCGAGTCTTGGATATTGAATTTGCGGAGGACGCGGCCATAGCGAGGGTCCAGCGCGAACACCACTGTCGTCTTGTTCCCAATATAAACAAGATCCTCATCAAATACTGGTCGATCAACAATATCCTTCATTGTAAACGGCAATTTCTGAAGGAGAGTAGAGGTGAGTAAGACCGATTTCAAAAAAAAAAAAAAAAAAAAGGCCGTTGTGGTATTTTTACCCGCAGATGTTCGCCATCGGTGTACTTGTACAAGATCCCTCCATCAGTAGGCTCGACGATATAGGCTATGCCATATTGCTGAGGGTTTGTCCAGTAACTAAGAGCTTTATCGGTTTCAGGCAGGTTCCGGAAGGGCACGTCTTCACTGGGATGGTGATCGTCATCAAGGTTGTCCATAAACTGGCTGTAGGTCTCCATACGTGTCTGGCCGACGGTGAGCAAAGAAGCAAAGTGTATGTTGGATTTCACTAGAGACGATTCTGTACGTGTCCCACTGGAGCCACCAATGGTCCAATAGGTCAGGCTGTCGTAGCGGCCAATGGCCCTGATGGATCCATCCAACGTAATGACAATCACCATATCCACCAGCAAGAACGGCTGATGTTGTTGTGAATCAGGTCGAGATGGTAACACCGTAGGAGAGGCTCGCGAGGCTGGAGGTCTTGGCGCAACTACCGGATAGGTCGACCGACGTTGAACATGGGCAAGTTGGTAACAATCGTCGCCAGCCGTACATTGCTGACCAGCTACGCCTGACATGGCAACAAAGCAAAGAAAAAGAAAGAGACTTGTCAAAATACACCAACCATTTGTTTTCTTCTTCATAGTTCAATGCATGTGCAATGTATCAATTGAAAATGGTTGTGTGAAAAAAAAAAAAAAAGAAACAAGAAAAAAAGGAGAGGGTTTTTTTTTCCTACACAGCGGGCTGAGTGATATGATCTGTGATTGGTTGGCTGGCCTCTTCCACCGCTCCTTTTTTTTTTTGGGCCACATTGCATGCTGTGCATGTGCTTTTTTTTTATTATTATTGTTATTATTTCATGACATGTGTTTTAACAAGGATTTGATAAGTATTGGGGTCAAGATGGACAGCTCCGCTTTTACTTGATCCAAGCATATCATCAAAGAACTGCTCTTGCTCGCCCTTGGTGATGTTGCCCGAGACTGCCACGGCTGCTTTGGCTTCTTCTCCACGATGGGTGCCCACAAAGCCCAAATTCAGGATGCGCACAGTTTCGCTAAAACCGCCACCCCACAGCAATGGTTCCAGGTACTTGAGCATGGTCAACCCAGCCTTGAACAACACAATGTCACCCTCTAACAAGAATATATCCCATATCCTTGATGACAACCCTAACGGCATGATCGAGGCAAACAAAGTCATAAACCAATCAGGCAGATAGTTGTCAGGCAGTAGAGTAAGATTTTTGAAATGCAGATATAGCTTTGGCATATGCTCGGCAAACAGGACATTAAACACCTTGAAATATCCTTTGACGCGCGTTTCATCATTCTGGTATAGAGCTGATAGTACGGCACTGCTGTCAATCATATTGATCAGTCCAATATACGAGTCCTCCATCCCCATGTTCAGTAGGAGCATCCCTGCTAGGAATGAAGACCCTCGAACCTATTGCGAAATAATTAAATTAAAAAAAAAAAAAAAAAAGTCAGCGATGAGCCTCTCTTCCTTCCTCTAGACATCACTTACATAGTTGAGATCCGATCGGTAGCCAATGTAGGCGTGCAGGACTTTGCGAAGGGAAAGAAAGAGAGGACCCTCGGGCTGAAATAAGCGAGGAATAAGATCAATCCAACGGCCATTAAAAGCATGCGTTTTTTTTTTCTTACCTGAAACACGCACAAGCTAGGAAGTGTGCGCAAGATATCTTCATCAACGGATTTGTGCAAGTAGGCGAGGGTTGTAGGGTCATGTATAAATGCAGACGGCTCGGAGTGCTCATTGGCTGCTGGGGAATAAAGGTCATCGTCATCATTGTCATTATCGTCCTCTATAGCCATGGATGGGCGATGGGCGATCTCAGGTTCAAGGTGATCCTCGCCATTGTCTAGAGCAACGTCTTGGAATTCAGAGCGAGGTGACAGAGGCAACCGGTCGGTGGAGCTGCGAGTCAGAGGAAGGCTTTCAGTGGACGATGCCATTGGTGATTTTTGTTGGTCGCTTTCTTCATCCGTTTCGTGTAACACGTGCAAGCTGCTGGTACGTTTCTTTTGCTGATAAAAGATATGCTCCTGGTTTTCGGTGATCCGGCGTCGCGTCGATGCCGGTGATTCCTGTGATGTTTCCTGTCGGTCATGGGACCCAGTCGCTGGCCCCAGTGGCACACGCCGTAAACAAGTGGCAAATCCATCTACTCAACATGACGGTCAAAAAAAAAAAAAACTCTTTCTGTTGTATACTTACCCTTGGAAAGTTGCAGATGGTTGCCAATAGCCAAGGACCAAACACATCGGCGACAGCGGGGGGGGACACCTTCAAGCCAAAGATCTCTGGTCTTTTTTTCCTTGATTCTACAGAAAAGAATATAAGGATACTTCTCTTTCTGGTCGAGTGCTCTGTCCTTGCTTTTTATCCCATTGGGGTATAATTGTGCGCTCCCAAAGAAGCGTTGCTTGTGAGATCTTCTTGTCAACTTGCTCCTTTTTCTTATCATGTTCCTTTTGCCTCTTTTCCTCTGTTAAAAACAAGGGGGGAGGCATTAGCACAATAAAAGGAAGACCGGTACTTGTTGCACATACCAAGCTTCTTGGCTTTCTTCATCAATGCCTCGTGTTGCTGGAGATGCTTCTTTTCTTCGCTGGGATCCTTGGGTGGCAAAGTTCTGGAAGTTAAAAAAGGGGGAAGCATTCATTCTGTCAGTCCTACCGAATTTTTTTTTAACCTCTCTTACCTGGGTCGCGTTTTAGATACCACCGATTCAAGCGGTGATGGCTTTTGCGAGCGTCGTGGCCGATTGAATAGATTCAAGCTACAAGAAAACTGTGTTAGTTTTACCACGTTCGTAGCCTTCTTTTTTTTTACCTGGAGCGACGTTGGATGCCAGTGAGGTTAGCACCACCAGCAGTGACAACGATGTTCTGCTCAAAAATATTTCGCTGAGCACCACGCTCGGGTGTAGATGGATAGGACGTAGGCATGCTTTGACTGGGAGTTGGAGAGGCATCATCCAAAACATCCGAGATCGAATAAAATGGCCCACTAACATCTTCTGAGGTGATAGAGAGATCATATGAGCTGTCCTTGCTGAACGCGGACGACTGCATGGGCGGGGGTGATGAGACATTCAACGGATTCCTGCGAGTAATATATGGGATACGCGACTTGGGAGAAGGCTTTGGCACATAACTGTTGTCTCGAGGCAAGTCTAAAGATACTTCTTCAAAAAACTGGTCGTAATGTGAAGTTTGGCGTGATTCAAGAGGAGAGGTGACACTAGGTGGCGGTGGGCTGGTGGCAATGACAGGCTTGTCCTTTGCGTCGGCTTGATCATCGTAGCTGGACAAGTCTTCCAAAAGATGATCCGCCGTCAGATGCGTCATTGGTACCACTGCTGTTTTCGGATTGATGGGAGGAGAGTAGCTAGAAGACCGACCATCTTGTACATCTGGCCCCGAGGATGACGACACTGGCAAGGTAGTCAACGTGCTGGCATATTCATCCGCTGATGAGTTTCTTTCATGTGGCTGTTCGTTCAGCTGGATCTCGGCAAATTCTTGGTGTAGCTCCTGTTCATTGTGAAATTGTGCATTGCTGTTTTCTACTTCTTGAAGCATATATATCGATGGATGATGTTGTACGCAGGTGAACGGGGTAGGGAAAACCTGAGGCGGGAAGAAAAGAAAAAAAAAAAGGAGACTCCTGCCTTTTTTTGTGTCACCTTTTTTTTTCTCAGCCCTGTGGCAATAATGTGCCAGAGGTCCCCTTTTTTCATTTTATGGAGGGATGACAAGAGCCAGTCGGCAGTGATGTGTCGTATAATTGATTTACTCTCTCCACTGGTCCTCCCTTGATGAAGAACAAAGAGGTAGCTGCCCATGATTTGTCATTCCCAAAAAAGGCAAGACGCAGCATTGCATGGCATAAAAAAAAACATTGTTGTTCCTTGCAATACTCAAGAACCATCATGCTCTTGATCCATCAATCTTAATAACTGTGATATCATGTCGCTGGTTAAGTATAACCGGTACGCATTGTTTTAATGAAAAACGAAGTGGTAAACTGATAAGCAATGCCCAACGCTTTCCCTTTTTGCTCAGTGACTATTACGGCAATGATCCAATGAAACCAGCGTTGCATCGAAAGAAGATTTCTCATCGCTTGACTATTGCAAAAAAGAATACATACGTTAGCAACTAGTACGTACTAAACTGCGTTAATTTTATTAAATAAATATTTATATTTTTTTTAAAAAAATAAATAGGCTGCAAAAATAAAGCATCCGGGGAGGAAAAAAAACATCCAAGAACAAAGCAAAAAGAAACTGCCCACTATAGGTTTCGAACCTATGACCTTGGCGTTATTAGCACCACGCTCTAACCAACTGAGCTAAGCGGGCTGGATGATTGATGAAATCACCCTGTCATCCAGGAATTTTCCACCGGTAAAACGGCCGCCGAAACGCCGCGTGCGCTTGTCACATGTGACGGTTGTGTTCCCCTAACCTTTTGGAATCGTTGGAACCGCCAAGCGAATTGTGACCAAGGATGACGGATTGATTTTTATGCTAAACCCTATACCTTAAACCCTTTACCCTATACCCTATACCCTAAACCTAAAGTTGTGGTCGAGCGTCAGAGAATGAATTTGATTGAGATACATCTCTTCTAGTTTTTTGGCTAAGGGTGATTTTTTTACCGTCGATGTTTACCAGACGGTAAAAGATGACAACCTTGCCGTCGCTGTTTCAATCCCAAAAAAGGAAATCGCTCAAAGATTTTAGCAAAAACACAAGAGCTGCAAAGGTCTCCGGCAGAGATATTGTATGGTTGATATGCAGTGTGCATTTGACGGTAATGTAACCGTCTCAGAACAGGAAAAAAAGCAAAAAAATTTCCAGGCCAAACCGACATTATCGCGTTGATTTAGACTTCAACAAGCTTTGGTAGCTCAGCTGGGAGAGCGTCAGACTGAAGATCTGAAGGTCATGGGTTCAAGCCCCATTCGAAGCATTTCTTTTTGCTTTATTTTTTTCGGAGCGTTTTTTTTTTTTTTTTTGCTTTCTTATTGGGCCGCCAAATGCTTGAGCAACGTCGTTCGTTCTAGGTTGGTTGTTTTTGCTCTCTGAACGAGGTGGGTGTGCATTGATATATTAAATCACTAGCAACTTTTTTTTGTTTATTTATTTTTTTGTATGTACCGGTATGTTGTGAGGCAAAGCTTACGGTAATACAAAATAGCGTAGCCTTCAAAAAAGCGGATTACGCTCTCGGAGCCCCCAAAAAAATCGGCCGTGTCGGAAATTGAAACACTGACAGCTATTTTTTTTTTTTTTTTTACCTTTTTTACCCGGAGTATTGGGGGTGTCAAAACGTGGTCTTCACAAAGTTGGCTAAGCAATCACCTCTAATTGGTTTGATTATTTCAGAATCCGTGGTTTTCGTAAGTCCCTACTCACTTACAAAATCTCATTATGATCCAATAACACGAAAATAAACTAGAGCGCCTTCTTTTTTTGGTAATTGAAAAGGGGGACGACCCCCTTGAAAAATCTGGCATCCACCGATTCGCCTCAAATTCGGCACACAGACTACAATTAATGGTAAGTAGTCCTGGTAAAAATCACTGGCCTTCTTGATGACGCGAGCAAGTTCTACTGCCAGTCAGGTAGGATACCAAAAAAAAAAAAGTATCACTCATTCATCACAACCTCTCTCTTTCTCCTGATCTGATTTTCAGAATTACAGTAAAAACTAGGTTTTTTTTTCAGTCGCGCTATGAACATTGCACCGGGGACAGGGCTTGAAATCGCCCAATAAAATGCATTTTATGTTTTTGTAGCTCTTATCTAGCGTCACCCAAGCCTGTATGCAAAATAGATGAGGGGAGGGCCTTCCTTTTCTGCTGTCGTCATTTGGTGGCTATCAGGTATTTTTATAAGATGTGAAAAAAATATTTTCGACTGGTGATCCAATCGGACAACGCGAGCAAGCAAAATCAAGCTATGTGCGATATCATTTTAAGTGCATGTTTGCCGGCCTGGTCGTTCTTCCCTGTGCTGCCTTAGAGAGTTACAATTTTAGCAAAGTACTCACCATTTTGTATTAGCATGGAATATTTGGGATGAATTTATTTACAGCAATTTTGCACTGTGATTTTTGATCAGATGGCCTGGGGGTTCCCTGACGAAAATGGCCGATTTTTTCATTTTTTTAGCTGGTGGGTCGGAGATGTCAAAATGAAAGTGATCAAGAATTGGCTGAGCGATCTTCGTCAATCGACGTGAATTTTTCAGGATCATCATCATTCATTGATTTGTGTACTTTTGCACAATTTTACACCGATCTGATCACCCAAAAGGGCTGCGCAGTGTTTGCTTTTTTTTTTTTTCCCCCGGAAGGAAGAGAATCGCCACAATTCAATCTCCGCGTAGCTGCTTTTTTTTATTTTCTTCTGCGTCTTGTGTCTCCAATGAGCACCTAATCTACTGCTTTTTGTCTTTGCCATCCAACCACCAACCACTTTTAACGATCTGTGAAAAGGTACATAAACAGCCTCACTCCCGAGTCATATCTCATTACTTTCACTAACCTGAAACGACACCAGCGCCAAACGCAAAGATGCAGCCCAACCTTGGCTGAAGGCTGGTGTCAATTTTATGCATAACTGTGTCTTCCTTGGAGACCAGTGTGAGAAATGAAGAAGCGAAAAAAAAAATGCGGGGCTGGCTTTTAAATTGCTGACCGTTTAGTTGAGACAAGAGACATTGGATGCCAAAAGATCACCAGCCTGGAAAATGTAAACGGCACAACACAAAGTTTAGTAACTTTTATGCTGTAGATAGTCAATTAATTGTGATGCCATTTAGATCTGATTGCCTACCTGGAAGGATCTGAAACAAACGGTCTTGTCGTTCTTGACTTCCATGGCTTGTCAACCGATTCTCTTGATGTTTTCAAGTTTGTCAAGTAAGCTCTCCCTATCTCAAAAAAAAAAAAAAAAGAGGAGCTTATCTCTATCTTTTTGGTTGAATAGATCCCATCCGAGCATCAAGGTAGTGGTTGTGGATTCACTTCCTTTTGACGACAACGTCAAAAAGTTTGGGCGAGAAGAAGTTTTGCAAAACCGGGGGATATTGGAAGTTTTTAATGGTTGACCAACAACTAACCCAAGATAAAAAAATAACTAAATCAAAGGTCTGGTCTTGGATTAAGTGGATCTTGTTCATTACAAATATCAATATCTTGCATGTCGTCGATCCTATTCACGAACCTTGCGCTGTTGGTCTCGTTGTATTCTTCACAAAATAACATACAAAGCGCATGTTCCCTGGTAATCAATTCGGGTAAGATCACTTGGAGCTCCTCGTTAATTTCTTACATCGCCCGTTGTTGGCTTTACACGCCCCGAGTTCCAGAGCACTTGCTGGAGTGCTAAAATGATTATGATTGATTTAGTTGGTTGCATGTTATGATACAATGAAATACAAATAAAAAAAAAACAAAGCTACACTGTGTCATCGCTTCTTGTGCTGACATTTATGCAGTCAGCAGGTGTGCATAGGTTGTACAAGTTTTGTGGGTCGGGGTTACAGTAAACGGCAGAAGCGATGTTGATTCTCTCAAATTCAGTCTTCGCAATCTCGGTCCATTCAATTCGATCCTTTGGTGAAAAGGCATATTTACCTAGGATAGAGCAATAGTAGGCTTTCAAGAAACGAATTTCGTGGATAAATTTCATTTCAATTGTTCCGTGGCGAAGCACCTAAAAAAAAACAGCTTAACGTGTTTGACTTTTTTTTTTTTTCTCTTACCATGTATCCTTCGACAATGCGCCCGGTGGCAATGTATGGGAATGCTCGTGCAAGATAGAGACTTGGTTCGGTGAATTCCCAAATTTTGACACGTTGGAATACGTTGTTGAGCTTGGCCATGTCGCTGGTGAATTGGTCAGAAGTGCCTCGACCATTGATGCTGACGATGGTGTTGTCCTTGTCTTCCAAAAGTTCATACAGCGCCATGGTTGCAAAGATGAGTCCATATGTTGGGTAGATACTGGCTATAGGGAGAAAAAAAAATTGGGTGAGAGACCTGGATCTTTTTTTTTTTTTTTTTTTTTTTCGTGGGCATACCAGAGAGAGAGATAGTGCCGAGGGAGGATAAAAAGATGTCGAAATATGTTCGTGCCTGGTCATACCGGCGAAGACGAGTGTAATAGCAAAAGAGTAATCCTGAAATGGCAACGACCTTGTAATTGAAGTTATCTTGGAGGTCGGACTGGAAGTGCTTGACAATGTCGGTGCACATATCTAGGCGATTGGTGATAAGGGCATTGCTGACATGGTAGACGCGCACCCAGGCAATGGCGTCGTCGTCCTTATTTGATCGGGCAGCGCGGTACATTGTTTTGAGGAGCTGGCGGTCTTGGGCCTGGCTGTCCAAAGTACCTTCAAAGATCCATGTGGTGATGAGGATGCCAACGGCTCGATAAAACGCCTGGAAGTCTGTGACAACACCAAACGTGGTGGCGCCCTTGATGGCTTGGTAGGTGACAACCCGAGTATCCTTGAATTTTCCGGCAGCAAAGCAGAGCAAGGCGCAGACGGTCAGAGTGTCAGCGTCGTAGTTATTGGAAATGCAGGTCAAGGCACGCGACAGGTAATAGATACTGTGTTTTCTTTTTTCATGGAGCCAGCAGACAAGAGCATAGCGCGCTAGAAAGAGTGTGTAGGTTGGTCCAATGTTGCCAAGAGATTCACAGGTGTTAACGCCAACGAGGGAAGTGTAGGTGAAAAGAGTCATGTTGCCAGTGTACATATAGATGTTGGAAAGTTGACGCATGATGTCGATAATTCGGGTGCAGATCTCGGGCTTGTATTTTCTCTCTGTTAGGTGTGAGAGTAACTTGGGCCAAAACCGGTGCTTGTATTGTTTGAACGTGTTGACCCAGATCCGAGCAGTGACGAGGGAGTCGCTGCCTCTGGGGATATCTTGGTCGAGATAATCAAGGGCAATGGTAAGGTATTTTTCGCCTTGCTCTGGGTCGGTACGCATTGTGTAGCAAACGCCCAGTCGATAATAGATATCACTGTAGTGGAGTCTGCTGAATCCGCTGGCCAGGTCATCATTTTCGTCAAGGATCGTCAATATTTTTTTTAGTTGCTCGGTGGCTTCCAACAGTAGGTATGATCGCATGTTGAGATTGGCTAGTTCCTCAAGATAGTACACCTGCTTGCAACGATTGTCGGTTTGTAGATAATGGCGGGTGACTTTACCGAGGATCTGGGCTTGATTGTCTGATGTGAGGTTCCGTTCATAGTAATTGGCCAGTTGGCGGTGTAGGTTGATGCGTCGCTCAAACGAGACCGTCTCGTAGATCGCTTTGGGGATAGTGTCATGC